ATCAGTAATTAAATGCAGCTTCAGGTATATTGTGGTTGCATATCTCTTGCATCGTACGAATTACAGGTGAAAGGCGAAAAAGGAACTTGAATTTATTCTACACAAATTAGAGATTTTCAAAATGTATCTGTAACCTGCATAGGTAGAGTTCTGAAAACACTGACTAGGCCTTGTCTTATAGGCATATGAATTTATAGAAAAATGTTTCACATAGGTAGGTACTCACTAAAATTATGTTTCTTTTTTCCATGTAATCAAAAAAAATATGCTCGTTTCGACCTCATTTTTGTATACAAACATGAGACCCCTGGTTCAAAAATTACTTTTTACAAAAGGTACCTACCTAATTATCTGTAATCACCATTGCTTACCCACTTTTCAAATTGTGTATATCAACATATTTTGTTCTGAAAATAACCAATTTACGTGGAAAAGTCTAAAAGGCATCAGATTGTTGTTCTTCCGCGAAAAACCGACCATCTGCATCTAAATTGCTCATACCTACTGTTTGACCAAAGCCGAAGACTTATTATTATTATCCCATCAGTGACACACTTTTTAAGGCATTATCAACATAAATACCTCAGTGTTCTATATACATAGAAATCAAATTATTATTGTATTGTGATCCAAGACCCTAAAATATCTTAATGCTACTTGTAATTGCCCCATACTGGATTACACTATCAATAATAATTCCAGTATATTATGTTGAACTTAGGTATGTTTATTCAATTTAGCGCCCCCTTTATGAAGTTTGTGTGATTTAACTTAGGATAAGCAAATAAACCTCTAGAATTAATAGACAATTATTTGAATAAATATCCCAACGGAATACAAGATATCTTGCTGATAGAGCCAAGAAAATTATCAATCGGAAATTTCCATAAAAACCAAATAAGCTTTCAATATGAAAATAAGATTTTCCCTGGGATATATCGTAAAAGTCGCTGTGAGCACACCGGCTATATTTCCCTACAGCAAAAATATAGGATGGAAGTAAAGTATTTTCCGGAACATATCATTACCAGCCAGGCCGTATTTTGCATCAAAAATTGCAGCACATCTTGCACCACACGACGAGTGAAATTTGCATAAATAAGATGCTGCTTGGTGATTTTCCTATTTATTTCGCAGTTTCATATATTATTATCTAGAAGGAATTTGCCTTTGAGAAATAAGATTTTATAATAGAAAAATACACTTATTGTTGTATAAATGTCGTAACATTGCGACCTAATGTTGAGTCGGCAAAGACGATATGACTTTTTTGCACCAGTTCTGTAAAATAAGAATTTTTTTTTTTTTTGCATATCATCGGTGGAGCTAGAAATTTGAGTAATTCATTTGACGTTCTTAAAATGGTCTGTTATCTGCACCAGAAGACTGGAAAAATTCATTGAATTTATTGTAGTTTGTAATCAAGTTCTTTCATTATACCCTTGTATATGGGCAATTCTGTTTTTGTTAAAAATAATACACCTGTTATGTCATGTGGGTGTGTCAATGTCACGAGTTAGTTTTTGATTTAACTGGAGGTTATGGGCCCAGAGCTGATTACAATCGTTTTGTTGTGAAAATCGAACGCTGGAATTTTGGCGGCAGTTTCTATGGAAGGTTAGTAAACTCAAATTTAAAATGGATAAACAACAGAACATGTTTTATGTGAAACCATTCTATGGAAGCTCTTTCTCGAAGTGGGAATTCAGAATAAAATTGTTATTGGAACAACAAGGTGTACTTAATGTACTTAACGAAACACCTCCTATCCATCCTATAAATACTATAGAGTCTGAGAAATTCCAGAAATCAGATGTGAAAACTAAAGTTATATTAATAGGTAGGTACAGTGTGTAGCTGACATTAAGGGGCTTGCAATTTATGGGGAATAAAACGTTAAATGAATTTTTAACGGAATTCGAACAGACAATTTGTGAAATTAAAGGTGCTGGAGATACTGTGGACGATAGTGAGATGATTTTGCAGTTATTATCTGCTATGCCTAAGTCTTTTCAGTCAGTGACTACAGCTATTGTCTGTCAGAATCAGTTAGCAGTTACACTCGAGTTTGTTAAAAATAAATTATTGATGGAAGAGGCTCGTTAGAACAAAACAAGAGAAGAAAGTGGCCCAAATCTTGCGTTTGTGGGATTTAAAGGAAAAAGGAGACCAGGATATTCTTCTAGAGGTGTTGGTGCCGGTATGTAACGGAACATGCAGAACAGTAGCAGAAATTTTTCATTTGTGTAATCAAGAAGGGCATAAACGGTTTGAATGTCCACAGAGAAGGTAAAATTATTATGGAGGAAACCAAAGTGGCTATAGAGGTGGTCATTTCAGCAACCGAGGAGGATATCGAGGTAGTAATTCTGGATACCGAGGTGGCTACTCAGGTAACAGAAGTGATAGAGGCAGTTTTAATTTGAATTTTTCTAATAGGGGCAGACACAATGCTCAGAACACAGAAAATGTTGAAGATGAGGATAATGCTATATCTTGGATTGTTGCAGAACTCATAGGTGGACCTCTGCGGGACGAGCGCAGCGAGTTCTGCAGTCATCTATTCATAAATATGTTGTTCAAGTACGATACTAACCTGACTCACTCAAATGTCAGTTATTCTCATTAGTTCAAAAACTACACGTTTTAGATGAGTGTCTTGATTGAATAGTTCAACAGTATATTGGTAAGCAGATAGCTGCGGAACTCGCTGCGCTTGTCCTACAGAGATCCACCCATAAGTTCCGCAATAATCCACTTATTTGTACTTGAACAATAACTTATTATATAAAGCCAAAATTTGTAAGATTATTCACTTTATGTCAATTTGCCTTTCAACAGGAATAAGTAATGTTACTTTACCAAACTAGTAACATAACGTGACAAGTTATTCAAGTACAAATGAGTGAATTGTTGCGGAACTTATGGGTGGACCTCTGCGGGACGAGCGCAGCGAGTTCTGCAGCCATCTATTCATCAATATGTTGTTTAATTACGATACTAACCTGACTCACTCAAATGAGTTATTCTCATCAAAAACTACAAGTTTCAGGTGAATGTCTTACTTGAACAGTTCAACAGTATATTGGTGAGTAGATGGCTGCGGAACTCGCTGCGCTCGTCCCGCAGAGGTCCACCTATAAGTTCCGCAACAATCCACTTATTTGTACTTGAACAATTACTTATTATATAAAGTTAGAATTTGTGAGATTATCCACTTTTTGTCAATTTGCCTTTTAACAGGAATTAGTAATGTTACTTTACCAAACTAGTAATATATTGTGACAAGTTATTCAAGTACAAACGAGTGGATTGTTGCGGAACTTATGGGTGGACCCAGCCATCTATTCACCAGTATGTTGTTCAAGTACAATACTAACCTGACTCACTCAGTTGTGAATTTTTCTCATTAGTTCAAAAACTACACGTTTCAGGTGAGTGTCTTATTTGAACAGTTCAACAGTATATTGGTGAGTAGATGGATGCGGAACTCGCTACGCTCGTCCCGCAGAGGTCCACCCATAAGTTCCGCAATAATCCACTTATTTGTACAGGGTGTTTTTTTATATATTGACATCCCACCTACAGCCTCTACCTTTACAACAAACATAACAAGAAGTTCATGAAATAAACAACTATCAAGAAGATTACTAGACTATGATCTTGAAAATGAAGAGTTCAATCTTTTTACAGCAATATCAACTGAAAACTTATCAGATGAAATGCCACAGACTTATGCAGATGCTGTAAGAATAGACAGAGGATGGAAAAATGCTGTTAGCGAAGAATTTACAGTGTTGGATGAATGTAATTTATGGGAACTAGTATTGCCACCTGAGAATGTCAAAATTATTGACTCAAGATGGGCTTTCTGTGAAAAAAAAAGTGTATGAAAAAGTGAAAAAGAAAGCGCGATTAGTGGCTCATGGATTTAAGCAGAGTGCATTCAGTGAAGACGTATATGCACCTGTATCACGTATGTCTAGTATATGAATATTGTTCTCTTTATTCATTGAATATGATTTGTATGTAATACAACTTGACGTACTAAGTCAGCCCTTTTGAATGGAACTTTGAAAGACCCAGTTTTTATGCAACCTCCAGAAGGTTTAAAAGTTAATAATAAAAATTTAGTGTGTAAATTGAAAAAGGCACTTTATGGTTTACGCCAAGCATCAAAGTGCTAGAAGAATTCATTATTTAATGAAGTTGGGTTTTCAAAGATCTAAAAAAGACCCTTGTTTGTATTTTTATCATCAAACTTTCCTATTAATCCATGTAGATGATTTGATCATATTTTCAGAAACTCAAGAAAATTTGGATTCTATACAAATGAATTTGGCTAAATGATTTAAAATGAGAGAGTGAGGACATGATGAAACTAAATTTTCTTGGATTACAAATTGAGAGACCAGGTGATGCGGTCTATATTAAACAGACTGATTTGATAAACAAAATGTTATGTTAATTCGGTATGGATAATTGTAGACCTCAAGACCTACCAATGCAGCCTTAACTACAGTTAAAAAACATTAACAATGAGAGTTTTCCTTACAAGGAATTGATAGAGGCTCACTGATGTATATAATGTTGGGCTATAGGCCGGATTTGAGCTTTTCAGTAAACTATTTCAGTCAATTTCAGAATTGTTTTGGTATTGAACATTGGAATCATCTTAAACATGTTTTGAGATATTTGAAACAAACTAAAGGTTACGTATACCTAGAAAGTAGCCTGTTTTATAAGAATCTAAAATTTCTATGACAGAATTTCCAAAAATACGCCAGAATACTCGTATACTGTGACAGTGTATATAAATATTCAGGACAATCAGTTTGCCCTAGATGTCCCTCCGCTCTCGTCTTTCATGAATGAATATCAACCCCTGGGCAAAAACAAACCCCTCGATATACCTATACACAAAACAAAATCCTGGCGATACCTACGCTGACTGGCGGCTCTTCCTCGTTCCTGTCGCGTTGCTCCTACTCCTGCGGCAGCTTCCGCAGGCTCCGAAACCCAAAAGCTCAACGCAAAAGCTCTCGCAGTTCCTTCGCATTCTCGTTCGCAGTCCGGCAGGACGGCACCGTCGACGTCGCGACGCTCCGCGTGCTCGACACGTGCTTAAGAGATTTTCGCGTTCTGCAGCAGGTGGACGCGGGACCAAACTTTTATTATTGCGGGGGAGGATTTCAGTGATCCCAAAGGTTTTTTATTTTTATTGAGGGGTTGACTGAACACTAAATATGTTTGGATTAAATTTTTTTTTGGTGTTTGTTGAGTGGTTGGTGATGGTTTGGACGTTGCAGGGGCGAGTTTAGAAAGGTTAGTTTTGAGTATTTCACAGAATTTCTATATGTGCTAATTGTTCCACTAGAAAAGTCCAAATTCACCTCTTGAGTGAACAACTTGGATTTGTGAAAATATTGTTTTGACCGTATCTAATAAATTCAAACAGGTATACTCGAGGTTTCGGAAAAGTGTTATCATTAATATCATTCTGATTTATTTCACCAATATTTATTCTGCCTGCAAATCATGATATTTTCATATACCTACTATCTTTGCAGAATAAAGCTTTTTCAAATGAAAGTAAGTTAACAAAAATACGAAATTTAAATGACAGAACATCTTCACTGCATGAGGAGCTGCAATTTCTGATTTCTGGGTGAGGGTTGATTCGTCATAGATGCTGTAAATAGATAATAGAACTCAAAAGAGGAAAACCCAAACATGATCCCGAATATTTTTGAAGAGCCCCCAGAACAACGTAACTTCAATAATATCGAATACATTATGCAAAGCAAGGGGTAAACCAGCCCCCCCGAATTTGTGCAAAAAATTCTTCAAACTTCCTCCAAATTCCTTGCAAATTTCTCCAAGCTGGTCGCAAATTCCCTAAAAATCCCCAAAATTGTTATATTTTTATTACGCTCAGTGTTAATACCAATAAAAATCTCCCCAATTTCAATACATTCCTCCAATTTCCCATAAATTCCTTCAAATTCCTCACAAATTCCTCCAAAATTCCCCATAATTTCCATAAATTTCCCAGAGTTTTAGCAAAGAATTCCGGGGTGGTTTGCTCCTTGAAGGTACAAGATTAGAAGGAAATTTTTATTTTTCCCAAATTTCAATCTTTTCTCTATTCACTTGCAAAATTTCAATCCAATACCTGAAACAGTTTCTACAAAAAAAAATAAAACGTCGCTCAATGTAGTTTTTCGGATACTTCATTTCTTCTGAAATGACATTGGCATATGTATTGCCTCACAACTTCGTTAATTTCCATCAGATCTTAACGTAATTAGGCTTGAAATGAACCCAATTAAATCCTCTACAAATCATTGGTGAATAATTTCAATGCAGCTTGGTTAGTTTTTAGCTGCTCAAGATTCAAAGTTTTTTCGAGATTTTTTTACTTTGATTTTTACCAAGGTGAACAAGGTCCATGGAGTAAACCACCCCCCTGAATTTGTGCAAACAATTCCTCAAACTTCCCGCAAATTCCTTCAAAGTCCTTAAAAATTCCTCCAAACGGCTGGCAAGTTTCCTGGAAATGCCTGTTAAAAAATTCCTGGGAATCCCCAGAATTGTTCGTGATCAGTGTTAAAACCAATAAATTCCCCCAATTTCCCATAAATTTCTTCAAATTTTCGGCAAAACTGTGGAGAATTTAGAGGAATTTTTGGGGAATTTGGAGGAATTTGTGCGGAATTTATGGTAAATTGAAGGAATGCATGAGAAATTGGGGGAATTTATTAGTTTTAACACTGAGCGTAATCACAATAGAAAAATAAATTTCTTAACACGAACAATTTTGAGGATTTTCAGGGAATTTGTAATAGGCATTTGCAAGAAGTTTGGAGAAATTTTGGTGAACTTTCCAGGTATTTGCGGGAAGTTTGAGGAATTGTTTGTTTTCCATAAGTACTTCACCTTATCGAGGGTCACCTGGGCTAGGACTCTGTAATGAAAAGAGATATTATTGACGTCCCCTCTCTAATGATTTCGAAAAGACAGAAGATGATAGCCAGTTTCATAGTGATGGGGATAACGATCTCTATCTGTTACAGCTTTACCGTCAAGAATGAAAATTGTGTTCAGACTTGATCATTTGTCAATTAGAATAAGCGTTTAACTTATTGAAAAATAGGTAGGCATCTGGAAATTACTAGTTCTGGAACGGTTCACATGTCTATTGAAACAGAGCTAGAAGATATCGCCTATGATAATGATGAATTGTTTTTAAAGGAAGTTTTAGGATAGGTAATAAATTAATTCAACTTTGAGAAAATGATTGAAATTTCCCACTTGATATTTCCCTTTTGTACAAACAACAGTATATTCAATTAATTGCTCAAATTTAATAAAATACTTACATCAAAATAAAGTACATATACCTACCTATTTATCTTTTCAGTCTAAATTCAAACTTTGTTAAGAATTCCTGATGTCTGAGTATTAAATCGAGCTTTTCATCATGTCTTTAACTTTTATGAGGCTGAAGCCTCGAATTAGACGAAATTGCATTTCATCCCGAACAGATGTCTTTAGGAGCTTTTAGCTAAGTTTATTGGATTGACGTGATATTTGGGGAGTAGACAGCATTAGCTTCCAAGAAAAAGATTAGAGACAAAGTCTCTGGGAGTTTGTTTTAGTTTGTCTAGAAGAAAAACTTTTCTTTTTCCGCCCGAGTTCTTTGTTTCGAAAAAGCACTCAAGACATTTCATCATACGGAATATATTGGGTTCTGCGTGAAATGTTAAAGTTTGATGTTTGCCGAGCTTTTCAACGCTTCGCCTCTTAGCTTTTATTACTATGAACCGCATCGAAATTACGTCTTGAACACACCTAGAACTTGCCAATGCCTGCAAAGGAAAGGTTTTAAGGGACATTTGAATCCTGTCTGGCCTAAGCCTCCATAAAATGTGTAAGGATTTTTTACTTCAAAATTATTTTTATTGAACAACAAAAATATGTATTTAGGGCAACGCATATGTATTTTCATATTAATCAATTTGTGGAATCTATCAATGTAATTTTCAATTTCTGGTCTGTTTGATGTATGTACAGGCTAACAAAATCCCAAATGGTTTTTAGAATGTAACTGCAATTTGCATGCAAAAACATTTTTGAAAAAGCTTTAGAGCCCGTTGCTATTTCAAAAGCCAAAAATAACCGTATTATTATTTTTTGTGACACTTTATTAAAAATGTATTTTTGCCTCAAGTCAAAACTCCATAAAACTAAATTCCCTATGACCCTTCGAAGAACATCTTTAGGGCAAAATATATGTAGTAACGAGGATTCATCCTAATAGGATCGTTACTTTTATAAGAAACTCAAGCTCTTTTATGCGAATGCCTGTGGGAAGTAGTGAAAATATTTCGTTTTTATATACATACTAGAATTTTTTTTTTGAGCTGACTCATCAGATTCCCATCCACAAGTCAGTGAACTATTTAGATGAGATTTTTGTAAGAGATAACCTTGTGAAGTATGTCGATGAGATGAGGAACATCCTCACAATTTGCCGCCTATTATGTAGTCGAAAAAAAAACTGTTTTGCTTACGTCATTGATGATGTACTTAAAGAAAATTACCGATGGTTTTTGTTAAAAGCAAATCATAATAATTAAATAATAGATCTGGTGTGGGCCTTATGCAATAGATATTAAAAATTAATTTCGACACAAAAAGTAAGTATGTACTTGAAAATTAAAAAAGGACTGTAGTAAAACGGTTAAATACCTTGTGCTCCAAAGACTGCCACTAGAAATCTTTTTTGAAAGTTAAGAAGATTAATGAATAACATTTTAAAAGGGCTCTTAGCAATATTAAGACGGTAAGTGTATTAGAACACGATGATTCATTGGCGAATTAATAAAATGAATTTCTTATTTTGAGGAAATCACTTTGACCTATTTCAGTTCACCTTCAAGCTGCTTAAACTATTCAAAGCGAGTAGTACAAAAAAGCTCAATCATTCAAATCGCGTCTGTCCTGACAGAAATCATCGGCAAAAGAGGAATAAAAAAATTTCAGGAATGCAACACACGCGTTGCTTATTTATTCAAGTCACTTCGGAAACAAGTGTCAAAATCGACCCTCCGAAAAAAAGAATTAATTCGTTTTAGGTTGTAATGAATAGATCGTGACACGAGATTTTTTGGAAATAAAAATATAAATCTAAATGAAATCAAGTTCATAGTGGAGCATTCTTCGCAAAACTCTCATCAAATCCTCAAGCCACTCTGAACGAGGAAGGTATGTATGTACAGGGTGGTTGATTTTCGATAGTTTTATAGGGTACAGCCAAAATGGCCGAAGATACTGAGAAACTGATATACGCTTCCCGTCCTCTTTTTTAGTGTGTCATTTGATGGTGTAGTCAGATCTTGGTCAACTAGATTGGTTTGCGAGGTACAGGGTGTTTTTCAAAATCAGCTGTTTTTTATAATCCTCTATAACTTCTTACCCTAGGGAGATATAGAAAAAGTGCAAATAGGAAAAATACGTCTTTTTTCACGTAGAATCCAGTGGCGTACTTAGAAAAAAATATGGGGGCTTTACCTTCTAAGATATTCGAAAAAACAAAGAATTTTCAAATGGAACACCCTGTATCTTATTGGTTCAGTAGTTTGGAAAAAAAATTGCGAGTTCAACGATATGTAACACATGATATTTTGTTTTAGCCTAAATGGCGAAAGTAGGTAACAAAAAACATGTTTTTCCACTATACCAATACAAAAATAAATTTAGACAAATTTTTCACACACTAGTGTGTCAAGTATTTTCAATTTACGCACTAGTGCGTGAAGTAATTTACAAGAAAAAATATTAAATTGAATTGACAGTGTCGACATCTTTCATTGACATTACTTTTACTGGTGTAAAGTAAATTACTTTACGCACTAGTGCGTGAAGTGAAATTTTACATATTTTGAATAGTGCATAAAGTGAGTAATTTACGCATGGTAGTTGAAAAAAATTTGTATGCAATATGTATGTAAAGCACCCACTCATGTGATTGTCATCAAAATTCACATTCGTAAAAAAAGGTTCACTTTACACACTTTTTGCATAAATAGCTATTTTTATATTGCTTATGCAATAAATTGTCAAATCTTTGTTTTTAAAGTGAGGTATTTTTACTTTTTTTTTTAAATGCTATACCTTTTCTAAAATATTAGATAGTTAAAAAGTTTGTAAACAAAATATTATGTAAGAATGGAATAATAATAATTGTCACAATCATTTTTAATTGAAATAATAATTTACCTATGTTTTTTTTTTAAGCATAGAATTAACTAATTATGTTG